ATGTCCATTTTGACAAAATGACAGTTATCTGTTGCAGCGTGTGATTGATGGGGGAGAACTGCTTTCACAGTTTCGCTCTCATCGCTCTGCTGCGAAGTCCATCGATAAACAAATCTCTCCTTACCTGTTCGCCTCGTTTGGTTTTTACAAACATTCGGTAGAATTGGTCTCGGTACTCGGCGACAGACTCGAGGGGTTTTTGGATTCGGTCCTTAATCATAAAAAAGGCCTGTTCCGGATGAACATAATCAAACCAGTTCAAAAAGTCTCGCTCGAATGTCGGGAGATCAACCCATATATATGTGTTAAACCAATGATGGGCATCTCCTCCCAATCTTGCGGGAATGTTTATCTGGGCCTCGTTGTCATCGTACTGCTGAGCTCGGAGCGTGGCCAGCCATGCTCCAGCAAGGTGGTGAGCAGGATCAAACAAATAGAGGTCGGGTGTGGCCACAAGTGCCCAAACCGGCTTATCGTGACGACGGGGTCACGTCGGTGCGTGTTCCGAGGTCGAGGTCGCCCCCTGTTAGCCAGATCGCTTCGATTTCAGTTATCGTCCTACGAGTCTCATAATCCTGCCACGTGTCGACTCCGATACCAACCTCACGTCCGACGCAACTTCCAGATCGGAGTGGGATGTGGGCTTGGAAGTGCGAAAAGGGGTGTGCCAAGGATTTTTGGGAAATTGGGGGTGGAGTCCCAGGTCAGAATTGAGATCTCCTGTGGCAAGGTTTCAGGGGCATAGGTGCAATGAGGCTAAGGGACGGGTTACTTTCGGTCTGATGGCGGTCGATGTCGTGTAGCATAAGGCAGATGGCATGAGCGGTGCATCTTGGGCCGTCCGATCCGCCCGTTCTAGTGACAGCGGTTCGGGAGAGGTCCGCTTGTGAGAGTTGTGATTTCTATGGGTCAGACCTTCGGGTGGTGATTGACATCGCGTGTTATGGTTAGGCTCCGATCCGCTCGTTCTAGTGACGGCGGTTCGGGAGAGGTCCGTTGCGATTTCTATGGGTCGGACCTCCGGGTGTGGACACGTGGCGATTGACGTCGCACGTTATGGTTAGGCTCCGTAATTCCAGAGGCTCGGCGATTGCCGCGTCGTCTACAATTTCTGCACGGCGTGTGGGGCCAATACGGGGCTATGGAATTCCACGGTACCACCGTGAGTTGGTGGTATGGGAGGAGGAGATGGAAGGGAGGGAAATTGGTAGCGATAATGACGAAGCCGAGGGATATGAAATATTGCGTGTTACAAGTAGTCGGGTAGTCGGGGCCCCTCGGGTCGTTGGTTATGGCACGGTGAAAGTCCCTGGGACACAGTCGGTCGTTCTCGGTTAGACAGGGGAATTCCAGAGTTCTCAAATTCCCTCGAAGCCTAAGCTGTTCTCCCTCCCTGTATTCTCAGTACTGTGGGTCCCGCAATCTCTCCTGGTCCGCGATGTACGACATCTTGTCATTTTGGCGGATCGCTAGCTATAGCGTAGTGGGAACCCTCCGCACGGATCTGATTGTGCTTCGATTGACAAGGGAGTTTCCGGGTATGGTGGCGGAAATTCCTACCGGCTCAAATTTTCCCGAAAGGAAAATTCAGCACTTATCTCGATACTGGAAATGCCAAGCTCATTAGTGATCGCGAATCGCCCGCGTGTAGACACGTACCGGCCGCGTTGATCAGATCGCGCTTACACGTGGGGAGGTATTCGCTCGCACGCGGGCCTGTTGGTTGGTTTTCGTGCAAAGTTGAGGGTTCAGTCCTACATGCAAAATTGCCACAGGGCATAGATAATCACCCAATTATCTAATCATTCAGTGATCTTGCAAACAATCATTTCCGATCATGCAAAATGACATCGCACACATCAGAAACCGCAGCAGCATCAAACTCTTATCGTGACGACAACAAATCAAAGTGACAAGCAACGATGATGATTTGGCAAAAACGGCAAGCATATCATTCCATCAGAACTCGTCCATCTAATATACAAAAAAAAAGGAAGGATCGAGATCAAGTAGGATACCATACAAGGGCCAACGTTGAGACAAAGATGTCGAAGGAAATAAGGACGAATTGCCCGAGACGAAATCAAAACTTATATACAAGATTGAGAAAGACAAAGAAAATTACAACTCCACGTCCATCCATCTCAACTCTCTCTCTCTCTCTCTCTCTCTCTCTCTCTCTCTCTCTCTCTCTCTCTCTCTCTCTCTCCGATGCGGATAGTCCGTCGTCACGCACCAACCCACGAAGTTGTCACCCCGCTTAGTCCTCCTGTGCCCGTCGGGTTCGCCCGCTCGCTACAGTCCGTCGTAGCCCCACGTGTCAACCCCGCACATTCGGCACCAGCTCGTCGGGTCACCCAACTCCCACTTCACTCACCTCTTACTTCTCTCGTGAGCCAACCCTCACTGATCGCGCTACCCCGAGCTTCCAACAACTGTTTAAGAGAGCTATCTAATCGCACAACCGAAATTTATAGTGTGCATGCATGCGTGAAGAACACGAAATTGCAAAGACTCAGAAAGAGAAAAGGGGAGGGAGTGCCTACGTACTGCATGACCAGATCGCGGCGTGGGGGACGTAGCCACTCTCCACGCATCGATCCGATCATGCAGCCCGCGGGCCAACTAGACACAGCACAGAAGAGAGAGGGCGGGAAAGACGAAGCTCAAGAAGAAAGATACAGTTACATGGGCGCCCTGCCAAAAATTACAGTTACGCGCAAGATTAAGGGCGTCGACTAATCAGAGCTCCGTTGCAGCCGCAAAAAGAAACGCGCGAGCAAAGAGCACCGTGCGGCAAAAAAAAATCCGAATTCCTTAATTCCTAAATTCCTATTTAACGCAAAAATGCAAAAAGAACTTTAATAAAGCACAAATCCCGAAAAGAAAGTCAAAAATTTCGAGAGCCATCGAGGGTTTGACGAGATTCGAAAAAAAAATTAAAAAAGAAAAAAAGCAAAACTCCCGCGCGATCACCGCGCCGAAATCCCGTCAGCAGAACAAGAAAGAAGTGAGGTCAACCATTATTAATCGTGCCTTCGTCGGCGCGCCAGCCACTCAATCGACCATCTCGGGACTTGCCCAGCCCTGGCCCCATCCATACGAAAAGAAGTGACGTAAAAAGAAGAACAAACAAGGACACCGATGCAACTTTCCCGTTGGATCACATCTCCCACAATTGGCCCAACCTTCCCATCTTAGGACCCCTCATTGTCATCGCGCAGAAAGTCGCGCGGCACAGAAAGTGGTTCGTCACATTGGAGCCTTTAGGGACGTACTAGTAGCCTGTTTGTGCTGAGCAGGCGTAGTTACAGATGGAGCCTTTAGAGACGTACTAGCCTATTTGTGCTGAGCAGGCACCCAAAGCCTTGATTAGGGAAATATGAGTGTTTTTAATGAGGGGACATTGTTGCATATCTGGTACCCCTCCTTGATCGTATACTGCTAGAATGTGAATGTTGCATCCTCATTTCTTCTCAGGTCAAGCCCATCCCATTCCTCAAGATGACATGAAAAGGAAAGGAGGTCATTGGGGTGTTGACATCAGACGCATATAAACTATTTTTTGTATCCTCAATCACTAGAGTATTTATGGATACGTATCTTCAATCACCAGAGTAGTTATGGATCCGTGCATCTGGGTCTAAGCCCTCCTGCATGCAAGCATGGATTCGAACCGGCGACCTTGGGCTCAAGAGCCAAGTCTCTTAACCACGACAACCCTCCCCCGCAGTGCTAGAGGTGTCTGCTCTTATCAACATCCCTAGCATCCGTCCAGGTTGATCGGAAAAAAAAAAAAAAAAAAAAAAAAAAAAAAAGGACTAACTATGCTAAAGTTACCGATTATAAACTCTAGGTGTGACTCAGGAGCTGTTGCCCCCTTTTTTTTTTTGAACCACCACTACCTTTCTCATAGTTGGGGCCGCGGGCCTCAAATTCAAATTCGGCCGCCACGAGCCCTCGATGAAAAGTATCGACGGTGGCCCGACAACTATTTTTCAGGAGTAGGCTACTAGATGCCTGAGGCTGACGTATGGGAAACGTAGCGGTGGTTTAAGATGTCTTCTCCTCATCGGTGGACGACTATATATATATATATATATATATATATATATATTTCTCTCCATGAGTCCATGTCTTTTCTTCTTTTTTTCCCCCCGAAAAAGCTGCTTTTTCCTCACCGGGGGACAACCATATATTTTTCCCTCACCTCACATATCTTTGTAACTGGCGTTCCAAGTTCTGCCATGTCATGGAACATATCTTTCTTTCACTACCTACCACTATTCCTAAGGCTATATTGGGGACCCCTGCAAGCATAGCTTTCTACCTCTCTTCGGTGAAGGGAGGTTACCTCTCTCGGTGGAGAGAGGTAACGACATATTTGCCTCTTCGCCCTAGACTTTAGGGTGCAGGGTTGGGGTCCTTGGTGGAGGCCCAGCTAACACAAGGACAGAGAATTTGCCAGTAAGGGACTCCTTAGACACTCCTTGTGGACCCGAAATCCACAAGCAAGTGCTCGTTCCACCTGTCCTCGGGGACGATTCGTGAAAAAAAAAGTGAAAACAGCACAAGGAAATTTTCTTGTGGCGTCCTTGTGGCTGCAGCCAATTTTTCCTAATCCCAAAGAGACCTCCCGAGGTCCCTCGGAGCACAAGGAAGCACAAAATTCGGAGCGGCGAAGGTATGCGTCGACGCACAGTTTCGGTTTGAGGGTGGTCCAGACGTGGTCCACCGAACGGGATCACGGACATCTCTGCCCTCCACTGTGTGGGCGGCACCCAACGGCTCCAAACGGTCACCGTCTGAGTGAGGCCTCCGTCCGACGAATCAGCCGTAGCCGACCGGTGTCATGCGGTCTGCCGCGCTGGGAGATCATCGACAACGGTCGGAAATTCGAATGCTTTTCCGTGTCGGCGCTATGTTCGACGACGACAGGTGGATTTTGGAAGATTGTCGTTTTCGTCGGTTGTCGGCACGCCTTGCACGTCGGAGTACAAATCTTTCTTCGCTTTTTCTTCCGTCGACGGAGTTCTTTGCTGGATGGTCGACCACTAACGTGGAGCTGTTGCCCTTTCCACGACCCTGACATGGCCGACTTGCTGCACAGACTGCCTCGGCTACTCCTCGTCGCTGTGCTGCTTCTCATCGTTGTCTTCTTTCACGTGTGTTTCGTCGGCAAGCTCCCTGTCGCGGCTCGCAAAAGGAGATCTTTCCAGAACGACGACAGGATGGATCGACGACTGACCAACGGCAGACCGGCAGGCACGACAACAGGAGCGAGCAATCGACAATGCACTGCGGGGTCTGTGGCGAAGCAAGCGTACGACCCGATGTTGTATGCTCACCTACCTTCGCATGAGATTCCTCTGCCGCCGTCGGATGACGAGGGGGAAGCCGTTAGGTCATTGACTGTGACGTTGGGAAGTGGTTCCACGCAGGATTGGGCGGCGACTCAGTCCTACGCTGGCAGGCGGGCGGAGACCCCGTGGTCTTACACTTCACTGCTGAACGAGGGGTTGTGCGACGATGATGGCAATGCAGCAGTCGATCTTAGCTTCCAGTTGTCGAGCAGCAGCGGAGTAGTGGCGACACATACTTGCATCATCAATCCCCACCCAGATGGGGATTGCGCAGAGCAGACGATGGTTGGTCCGTATGGGGCGGGAGAAGGGGGCCTACCTCAATCGCTTCGCGAGGGCGGCGGGAATCGAAATGTGTCCTCGAGGCATGGCAGAGGAGGAGTCGGCGAGGATCAACGTCCGGAATGGATGCGCTTGTCATCTGCGCCGCGAAGCGGATCCACGACTCCGTGTGGACGACAACGACAGGAGGACGCGTCCGTGGTAGTTGCGCACGTGGAACACAACGACAGGCAGCTGTGGGCGAAGTGCAGGCAGGGCTTGCGTCAAGCTGGAACGGACACAATAACGAGAGGGGTGCAAGGGCTCCGCGTCGACGAAGGCAACAATGCGGCTGTTCAGGAGCCCCTCGACTTCGACGACGTTAACGATGACGACGATTGCAACGCTGACGATTTGTCTGAGATTAGGCCGCTTGGGAGGAAGGTGAGGAATGGCGGTGCGAGTGCGAAGAAGGGTTTCACTCAGAGAAATCGGAGGAACAAGAAAATGGACAACGACGCAGGCGGGAGCGATGGCGAGGACGCTCAAAATTTCGGTCCGTCGGAGATACTATCGCACTCGTGAGGGCGAAAAGGGATCAAGATCTGTATTTCGGAGGCATGGGGAACAATTTCGGCCACATGAAGACCAGGGAATGGAAGTGGGAGGACGTGTGGTCCAGGTTGTAGAAGATGGACGTCATGAGGAAGGTCGTCAACTGCGGGAAGAAATGGGACAACTTGATGCAGCAATTCAAAAAGGTTCACAAGTTTCGGCACCTCTACGGTGGAAAGGATTACTTCAAGCTTGCTTCATCGGCTAGGAGATCGGAAGGCTTCAACTTCGCCATGGCCTGGAGCGTGTACGAGGAGATGAAGGTCATGATGAAGGGGGATCACACGATCCACCCGAAGAATTTAGCGGACACGGGGGCGCCGGGGGGGGTTTAGATGCCGGCAGGCGCGGGGGCTAGAGGGGAATCCATGGAAAGTGAGGGTGGAGGGGAGCCCGTTGACGAGGAGTAGGGGTCGACGAAAGATTCGACATTCAGCGTGGGGAGCGCCGACGGTTCCAGGAAAAGGAAGAACATGCGGCAACAAACCTTTGAGGTCGTCGCCGAGGTCATGGACAAGCATGGTGTGCTCATGGCGAGCACGATGGACATCGTGAGCAAGCGGCAATGCTCTATGACGTTACGGCAGTGCGAAATCCTTGAGAGCGAAGTGGAAGCGCAGATGAAACATTATGCTGTGGTGGATGAGGCGAACAGAATGATGTGCAACGCCCTTGTGGAGATAGGGAAAGCCATCCGCGAGAGCTCATGATGACACTATTGTTTAGTGTCGCTTTATTGTCCTGTCTCTCCGCCCTCCATAGCCGCGACATGGACACGGACCCATCGCTCCGCTGCTGTGTGTGTCGTCCTTCCACACCCAACGAAGAAGTCGAAGAAGTCCGTCGAAAGCTGGCCCCTTTTCTCTGGATGCAGTCCCGCAGACGGAAATGTGTTTAAAGGCGCAGTCGACGTGTGTGAACGTCGACAACGATGGACACACCCGACGATGCCTGCGCGCTCGCAACGGCAGGGGGATGAAAGTGATGCCGCCGCTGAGCCCGTTTCAACGGTATGCCGTCTTCGCGCCGCCAGCCGCACGTCGTCGTCGTCGTCGCAGCCGTCATTTGAAATTCGAATTGCAAACGTCGACGCCCTCCAGGTTATTTTTCCTGTCGCCCGCTTCGTGCCGTTTCCCGCCACACGTCGCTGGATCATGCCGCCTCCACACGGACAAAAGACGGTGGACCAAGGACGACCGACCCCGCGGCCACTAATTTCCGTATGAAAACGACCGCGGGCACGCCACAAGGAAACATCCTCGGGGGAGGTCCCCAAGGATGAGTGGAACGACGCTGCAAATTGCCCTTAAGAGCCACAAGGAAATTTCCTTGTGACTTAAGGAACTCGTAAGGAGTGTCTAATTGTACCTCCCTTTTCATCTTCCCCCACCCACATCCAGTAATAGTTGTGTCTAAAGCCAACACTCTCCCACACACCACATGCAACCCAGTCAGTATTAGTAAGGTCTTCAACCAACACGGGTGTGAGTGCACGTGTGAGTGGGTTTCTCTCCATATCTCGAGTCCACCGCCCTTCTATAAGGGAAAAAGAAAAAAAAGAAAATAACAACTGCAGTTCATGGGGTAAAAAAAAAAGACTATCTTCGAATGTAGCTAAAAAACCGGGAACGAAAATTGCAGCTCACACCATCGGACATAGCTCAGTTGGTACACCCATACTGTTGAACTGTCGATTCGAGTTAAAATCCAGATACAATCAGACGACCAGAGTGGAATGAGTCTGAATTACCTGGGGTCGGTCAACTCAATGATGATATCTCAAGGTCATAGCCCTTCGCATCTGTGAAAAAAATAATTGATCAACCGAGTGATTGATTGATTGATTGATTGGTTGGTTGATCTGCCTTGTGGTGTTGTCTGATCGCGCACGTGGCAACAATTTTCCCCGTCTCCTTCAGCCATGGCGTTGTCGTCGCCATCGCCAGCGTCAACAGAAAAAATGTGCCAATTTTTTTGCCACATTGGACCTATGTTTACACCACATTTCAACTGTTTATAAACTGCTGGCCGGGGGGGGGGGGGTGTATGTTCAACACAAAATGAAGGAAACCAACACTGGCCGTATTTTGGGGACACTGAAACTTGTGTGTTCAACTGTTGGACCAACTGTTGAAAAACAGTTGGTCCAACTGTTGATCCATTGTTGGTGGCTTGTTGAAATGTTGTTGAAAGTTGTTGGAATGTTGTTGAAACTTTGTTGAAATGTG